ATTACTCACAGGCAGTGCACAACTGTGCGTCCTTCTCCACACTCCCTTTGCCACTTGTGCACTTGAGCCAGCAGGTTGAGGAAAGCCTTCTTGGAGTCTGGAACGTCGCGATATGCCGACCAGCGCAGAAACTGGAACTGACACATCACCAGCTGGCCCTCTTGGAGCTTCACATACAAGAGAAAGCACACAACACACATATCTGACACCATTGTTCTCTTCTGCTGAATATACGTGTGCATGTGGCAATTGAATTGTTCTGGGTGTTTCTGTACATCTTGTGTGGTAGCCAGTTAGAAGCCACTTTTGAGTGCTCCCCAGGCTGTGTGTTGGCATTCGGCGCTGTGCTCACTCAGCAGCCTGACTTTGAGATATATGGGTCTGTGGGAGTAAGAGGGGCCCGCGCTGTGTCTGAAAGAGGTCCCAGTGTGTTCATAACCTTGTCCTGTAGCATCTCACCCAATACTTAAGGACCAGCGGAGAACTGTAAGTCATGCAAATTGGGCCGGCAAAGACACCGACGATGCATGGAGGAATTGCCTCAGTGGAAGCGGGATTTACACAGTGTGCTCTTTTTTTGTACAAACCACATATCCGTACATATGCTTACAATGCACTTCCTTTGACTTTTACTCACTACCCTTGTATATCATTGTCAGGCAAAGGAAATATTCTCACTAATGCACAGAGAGGGGCTGAGTGAGGGAGAGGTGAGCGTTATTTTTGTGTGATTGTATTCCTTCCATGCTGTGTTAAGTCGCCCTCTCCCTGACTGTGATGTGCGCCGAGTAGAAAAGAGGTGCCATAGGTAGAGAGGGGAATGACGAGGGCAGTCGACACAGGAGGTGAGGATGCCAATCAAGACAGGAAGTTCTGGGCACCACTTGTCGTGCTGCTTTTAATGGCATAGGGGAAACGCCTTGCATACAGATTTCTTTAGTAATTGGTTGATTTTGCTGAGCAGAATGCAAGCATGTGCTTATGTAAATTCCTGAGCACAAAACACGCATAACTACATATAAACAAACCAAACAGCCAACACAGTGAAGTGAAAATGTTTTAGTCCTACAGATAAAACACATTTGGGAATTCTCTTCAGCTTAGGAAAGACCACACTAACATTCCACTTTGCTTCCTCGACTATGAAAGAACCAGTGGCTTCTTATTTTTTTTGTTTTTAGCCTATTTTCAGAGCTCTACCTAACGCTGCACTGTTTAAAAGGTGTGACGAGGTTTATGAGCAATTCAAAAGAAAATCTTCTTTGCTGCCGGAAAGAGTAGACGGCAACTGAAAATATGGCAGGCATCACAATGATGAAAGGTTCCTTTTTAGTATGCCAACGCACGCATCAGAGAGGGAAGACACCTATCTAGGTAATAACAAGAAGAAATTGAAAAAGCGAAAGACTGACCTTTATGGCATGCATGTCAATGGCTTCCTCTTGCATGTTTTTTTCACGAAAAAGAAAATTCTTATAATAAAAATCATTCTCATGGGAATGTTTGATGGAAGCACTGGGGGCTCTGGTTCAATTTTCTGGACTGCTGAATATCAAAAGAATGTCCTTTGTAGTACGTATAATAAAGTCTATGAATAAAACTTCTACTCATCTGCCATTGTGCTCGAGACAAATTTCCAGGCTCTCGTATAGAGTGTGTTTTCTTAAGGGGACTTATTTGACAAACTCTTCTGTCCCATGAGGTGTAAACTAGTGAAGTGCTGCCGTGTTTGCATTAGTAACGCAAAAGCGCACACTATATGGAAATATAGTCTCATGTGAAACCCCGAGTTTCAGTTTGCATCCATAAAGGATATTGTAGAAAATGTTAGATGTATAAGATTTATCTAAACCACCTGTAGTCAAAGGAGCTTGCAAAGAAAAGCGTCTGGACTTCTTTAAGTTACTTGAAGACGTTTCACCTCTCATCCGAGAAGCTTCTTCAGTTCTAAGGTCAAATGGTGGAGAGTCCCAGATATAAACCTAGTGGGAGTGTCCCCCCACAGAGGGACAAAAGGACCCCCTGATGATCCTCTAATCGCCTGAGCCAAGGTGTGAAACTGGGTGTTTCCAGAGCCAGAGTTTCGGGTGAGTTCATTGTGAAACCTGGCCCCACCTTATCATGCGAATTCCTGAGGTCAGATGGCCCAGGATGAGAGTGGGCGTTAAGGCGTCTGGGGAGGGAACTCAAAACTGGATTATAGATGGCAGACAGTTGGTGTCGTAAACCACCGCCTCTGTTCAAAGATGGTCGCTCACAGTGGACATAGATGGCTTCTTTCACTCCTCTTTCAAACCTCTCCACCATTTGACCTTAGAACGGAAGAAGCTTCTCGGATGAGAGGTGAAACGTCTTCAAGTAACTTAAAGAAGTCCAGACGCTTTTCTTTGACTACGATGACCTGGATGACTGAGAACCTTCACAGACATAAACCACCTGTAATACTTCTCTAGATTTTCAGGTGCACGTTAGAGGTGACGGCTCCGAATGTACTGCAGGTAAAACCTCCCGCTAAAGCAGTTTAACTTATTTGTGAAATATCATCGAGCTCAATAAAATGTCCTGCGCTGGCTGTTTTGGGATGACAGTGACTCACCCTCGTGACGTTCTTGACTCGAAATAGACGAGTTATGACGTCCTCGTCCGCTGACATAGACAGGAACTCCACTTCCATTGGCCCGTACTGCTGTAAACCAGGCTCCGGCCAGTACTGGACACATGGCTGCACAAACAACATGGGCAGAGACGAGTTCATTAGTGATTGAGCTTAAAGGAAAATGCATTTTTATGCAGCTGTGGCCATAATACTTGTTCTTAGAGCTCTGGGTTATAAATTGCTGCTGGTGTTTATTAAAATAAAAGCAGCAGTTGGGTTAGTGTGTGTTTTCGTGGAATTTAAAAAGCCACACTAGTGTTAGTTAGAGAAGTTAGAGAAGCATTGCGAAGGGAGAGACCTAATGTGCTTTGAGAGATTTCAACAAGAGGGAGACAGAGCACCGCAGCCCCGCAAATGAACTCTATAACAGAGTTTATAACAAGATCTTGCAGTGGATATCTTAAAGTGGCTATAACTCAATTTTCAGACAAGACCCCACGGGCCGAAAGAAACCAGATGAAAACTTTTTAAAGGGGAGTGGATGAAAAGTGGGATTGAATAGGATCATTGCATTTGTTTTATTTTGTCCAGATTAGATAAGGTGCTGCAAAGAACAGCCAGAAAAAACAGCACAGCACCTATTTTCCACTTAACACGTGTAAACCGACAGTAAAGATGAAATATTCAGAACATTTATTAACATCTTGGCAATGCTCGTCACGGCTTTGGAGGTTATACTGATAGTTTAACGCTTGAGGACAGTTTTTACAAACTGCATTTGGTAGCTTTCACATTTAGTCATAAAAATAATAAGTATCTCTGTCTTAGCATATATATTTATAAATCCAGTATTGTTTGGGCTCTACTTTCTTCCTTCTTCAAATTTTTCCATCTTAGACCAAACTCATTTAGATTAAGCGCCTGTTTTTCAAGGATCTGGTGCACTGTAATACATATTTCACAGAGTTAATACTTAAAGACGGACTGAAAACCTTGTATATCTAATGCCTAAAGGACACAAAGGAGAATGCGTGAGCTATTATCTTCAGTGCCTTTGGCTTTTACAGGTGAACTCTGCAACTCACTCTTTATTCATGCCCATATTCATTATGCAAGACTGTAAATACAAGGTACTATGAGACTATACACAAGTACTTTAAATTGTCCTTCTAGCAGTTTTAATAATAAATTGATGAAGGCCAGCGTTACTTTGTGTTGCAGACTTATGTATTTAAATTGTTTTTGACTCTTGTAGGCTGCATCTTTATTTTAGGACCGTTCTCACTTGTTTTGAATGCTTTTCCTTGGGCTACATTGCTGGACTGCAAAGATTTCTTCTTCCATTATTGCCAAACTGATGAGACCCAGTTGTACCTGTCCCACAAGCTTAATTATTCAGCAACATCGTTCTCTCTGCACAACTATTTATGTGCCATTAAGGACTGGAAGCTTGCCAATCTCCTTAAGCTTAATTCCAACAAAATGCAGTCAGGTTGTGCCAGCTTTTGGCTCTTTCACAGACTGTGCGTTTCCTTCTGCTACAACTCGAGGAGTTACATTTGATCAGCTTCTCAGTCTGGTTTCCTATATTACTACCACAAGCTCATTAAATCCTGTTTCTTCTAGCAGACAAATGGCTTGAAGAGTGAAATCTTACTTTTCTTTAGGGACACAAAAGCAAACTACACGCTTCATGTTTGCTCGATGCTTATAATGATTTCTTATGTGTAATCAGAAGAAACTATGTGAAAGATATGATTATGCATGACCACATGGAAAAGACAGGTCTGCTGGGGTAGAGAAATCCATAATAACTTTTCAGCATATTATTGTTGTTGTTGTTAATTAGCCTTCCGCGCTACCCGTGGGATCTGTTTTAAGACTTTAGAAGATGGCAATAACGTGTGGCAGTCACAGATCTTATCTTTTCAAATTCCATGACAGTTTATTTCTTCTTTTTTTTTTCGCCTAATGTCATCCCAAGCCCTTATTCACCTGCTCCAACCAAATGAAATAGCTAGTGTTCAGGATTTAGCCTAGCAAAGACTTTAAAAGGTTAAAAAGGCTAAAAAGGACAAGTTAATGACCACTAATCTCATGTTATGTTTCCACTAATTATTTTTAATATTGTTGGTTTAAAAATAATTTAAACCAAATTATTTTAAAAAAAAATTTATATGCTCATGAAAAAATGTGAGCTAGTTAAAAAAAAATCTAAGATGTGGCTGGAGGGTAATGCAAGCCTATTCTTCAGAGATGTATCTTGAGAAGGGAAGGAAAAACTGGGGCGAGCGTTATCTAGTCATGCCTTGAGATCAATGTGGTCAGGGATCAAAGCCCAACAAAATGGCATGAAAGAACTAATCCCGAGCACAGTAAGATACAGAAACTGTACAGGCGGCGGATGTCAGGGAAAGTCTCGAATAAACTTCATACAACCCCAAGACTGAGAGTAAAAACTTGCACGGCAAACAGTGGCTCCTCTGTGTGTGTGCGTGCTCGCGGGCGTGTGTGTGTGTGTGTCAGATCTCAAACGTTTTAAGACATCTCTCTCTTTTTTCAGTGTCAACAAATCAATGGCAATAAAAAGTACCTAACACTTTGACCTTACCCAGGCAGAGTTTGACTGATTTAGCTGGTTGAGCATGACCACTGCCGTGCAGCCGTAGTCAAAAACCAGTCGCCAAAAATCGGCCGTGGTGCCCGGCAGAGGGTGAGGGGTCACAATGAAAGCGGCCTGCCGGTGGAAGCTGTCAGCGAGAGCAGCGTTGATGTAATTGTTACTCTCCCCTTCTGTCGTGACCAGGAACGCAAGGGCGCGATCGGGCGGGAGGACATCCATGCTGCGGTTCTTCTCTCGGTTTCTGGGTAAGAGAGCAATGCTGCACTCCTCCACATCCACGTGGGGAGTCACAGAGTTCAGCGTCTGTAAATGGAAATGTGTAAGAGGCCAGGTGAGAGGAAGGTGAGGATAAAGTGAAATTTGAGAAACCATTTAAAAGTGGAATATGTGAGGGGTGATGAGGCACCGCAGAGGAGTCTGAGATCTTAGGAAAGAGAAGGAGGTAGAGGAAGTGAACGAGACAGGAGGAGGGAGGACTGGAAAAAAGAGAATACAAAAAGACCAATGATGGTAATTGGTTTAGTCTTTTATACACTGAGGAATAAAGCATAAGATTGGCAAACTGCGTAACAAAGCTGAGTGCAATAAAACAAATAAAAAAGAAATGTTGCATACTAATTTTCCATAATGAATTGAATCATAATTACATTAAACAACTTGAAAAAAAATATTTGAATAATTAATGTATAGCATCAATAATAGATCTGTGACTTGCTGATCTCAGTGCTACCAATTGGCTGTTAGCCACAGGATGACAGAGTAAAAGGCAAACACAGCTCTTTGGTTGGTAGGGAGGCTTTTAGCATCAATGCCTGACAGAGAAGTTTACAGGATCAAAGCGGGGAGTGAAACACTTTCCTATATGAAAAGGTAACAGTTTGTTGCACCACCAACATTACTGCTCCCTACACACATCCATCATAATTTATACAATATGCATATTTTATGAGGATTAAATGGCTCAAAATCATAAAGAGAAGCGCAAGTCTTTTTCGGAAGCACTTTGAAATGCTAAGTCACCGTGTGTGCTGGTTGAACAGTGAGCAGCAGAGGAAGGTGAATGAAGCAGGTAAAGTGTTTTGGAACACAGCTGGCTCTCCTGTCTCCTAATCAAAACCTAATAAAATCTTCTGAGAGCACATTCCTTTAAACCACTCGAGGGGACATAAGTGGCAGTGGCAAAGAATAACAATGGAAACTAACATCATGTTTCATGTACGCACACATACATTATAGATGCAAACACGCCACACAGAGATATCTATTAGTCTGTTCCTTTATGCGCTCTTTGATGAACTGATGTGTGCGCTACGAAGAGCATCTTCGTCTCTGCATGCGTGTCTGTGTGTTTATTTGTTTTTCCCAAACAACCGTTCATCCTTTCTCCTTCATATCTGACAGGCGTGTTTGAAGTTGTTTGGATGAGCAGTTCACATATTTTGGTTAAAAGTCGACTGCATGTGAGATATTTATGGAACACCTGTGTGGTGTAGCTGAAATTACCGTGAATATATTCTCAACCTGTGGGAAACCACGCAGTGGAATCCAGGCACACTGAAAACACCTGCTAAAATAGTCATGTGAAAAAGAAAGTTTTCACGGGACAGTGCTGTCCGATGAAATGCTAACTACACCTTTCCTGTTTCTTTAAGAATTAAGAGGGTAAGTAGCAGCCGGGTGCTGCTAATCATCTGCACTTGGCTAATTGATCATCAACAACCGTGAGCACCTGTAAAAGCACATGTTTTGGCTCTTTGGTGCTCTGGAGGGTTTAAGTGTGTCCCCTCTTTCCGAGGAGCGGACATCCCAGGAAAATTCACCCTACGGTCAGACCGTGCAGTGCTCAGAGAAACTGCAAAAGATCCAAAAGCTGCTTCTCAGACTCTGCAGTCCTCAGCTAGCATGTTAAATGTTAATGTTCATGACAGTACAATTAGAAAAAGACTGAACAAGTATGACTTGCTTGAAAATGACCTAAATTTGAGTTCCATCTGAACAAACCACAAGATTTCTGCAACAATGTCCTTTGGACAGACCAAAGTGCTGATGTTTGACTATAATGCACAGCACAACGGCACAAACACCTCATACTAACTGTCACAGATGGAGGTAGAGGTGATGATCTGGGCTTGTTCTGCAGCCACAGGAGCTGGGCGCCCTACGGTCATTGAGTTGACCGTGAGCTCCTCTTTGTACTAAGATATTCTAGACTTAAATGTCAGGCAATTTATTTAACAGCCAAAGCTGGTTGAAACTGGATCATGCAACAGGACAATGATGTCAAACACAGCAGCAATTCTGTAACAGAATGGCCCAAAAAAAAAATCAGGGTGTTGCAATGATCCAAGGTCCAAACTCCCGACTGATTGATGGTTTGATTGCTGTGGATAAATGAATGCCTGTAAACCTCAATGAAATAAAGTAATCTTATAATGACGAGTGGACTAACAAAGTCATACAGAAAACAATTCAGCTTCATGTTATTGTTGCTGAAGGTGCTTATTTCCACATAACTAAAGTGGCCCTTATTTAAAAACAGCTTTTGTGTTTCTGTCTGTGACCAAGTTTTATCTCCTCTCTCATGCTCATTTCTGTTTATTATCTGAGTTCTCTCTATGTTGGTCCTTTCTCTCTTCACTTTCACTTCGCTCCCCCGAGAACATGGCTGGCTCTCCCTGAGCCTGCTGCAACTGGAAGGACTGTTTGATCGTTGCTGTGCTCTCTAGAATATTCTGGGGTCTTTACTTTGCAATAAAAATCGCCTTGAGATGACTGTTGTTGTGAACTGGCACTATATGTTAAAAAAAAAGAACAAAAGAATTGAACTGAATTGAATCAACTGCCTGCAGGCGTGGGTGTTTAGGGAACACTGGTTACAGGGTCTGCAGGTAGCCTGAATGTGAGATGCTGAGAGAGCACTGGAGTTAAAGCACTGGCAGACAGCCTGAAACTCACAACCTGTGAGATACACAATACATTTATCTTACGTTCAGCTAAAGAAAAGTATGTGCATGTCCGGTGGCTGTGCTACTATCTGAATATCAGCCAAACAATATTAACTAAATTGAGCAAACCTACACTACATAACTACAAATGACTTCTAACTTGTACACAGTGGATCATTATGATGGCTCATCCTGACTTTGCAGCAACACTGACCTGAAACTCCTCTCGAAGCTGAGAGGAATTACTCTGAGAATCCACTCGCAGCATCTCTTTGTAAGTGACAGCAAACTCATTCACCAGGATGGCCGTCTCTCCGCACAGACACGCCTCTAGAATAGCATCATGGATGAAGATATACTGCTCCTGAAAAGACAGCAGGCGACATAATTTAGTTCATCGTTCTGGCTTTTGAATAACACATCAAAATATGTTATCTGAAGGTTGTAAGCAACCAGATGCTAAACACTACAAATGACGCAGGTTAAAACAGAAGCAGGTGAGAAACGTTAGTTGTAAATAAATAATCAAATAATAGTCAGAATGGGAGAAATCTTTCATAACCCGCCTTGTTCTGAATTAAACATGTGCTTTAATGTTAGTGGCGTATCAAGGCCGCTGGAGGATAAATAAATATTTATTTGTAAACAAACACATGCAGTGTGCATTTAATTAGTGCGCCCCTGCAAATAGCTACAAATGCAATAAACAGCCAAGTCAACGTTGGATTTACATAATAAGAGGTAAAAATGCAAATGATGTGCACATCAAAGAACAGCACGTGCCTACACAGCAAACTGACAAAGAGACAGTCTTTCTCTAAAACTTTAGCCGTGACCTTTACATACATCTAGAAGTGGGAGTATGGAAATGTACCCCCCTCACTTTTTGAATTCCCAAACAACAGAAGGAAAAAAAGGAATTTCTAAAAGCTTGGCTTTTCTGGGGGGTTTGAGAAGATTATATTAAGGATCGAGATGTCACCTGCTAAATATGTGACATGTGCAAGAAATTGTGATTTCACTGCTGTCCTCACCTCCGTTTGAATCATGTTGATACGTCGAGAGCAGAGGGTTTTGACGCAGTTGTAGATATCCACCACGCCCTCACACTCGGCCATGTCCAACATGACATCCAGCACAATGTAGCAGCCGGTGCGACCTGCCCCCGCACTGCAACGGAAAGACCATCTTTTATAAGGAATTGTGTCTTAAAACATTAAAGGTCTGTGCATAGGATATGAGGGACCCATTGGCACAACTGGAACATAATATAATCATTGTGTTATAAATAAGTAATCCATATTGTTTAAATGGCTAAGAATGTGACAGATCTGCCAAATCTTCTATATCTACAAAATGCAAGTACATGGGTCAAAGGTTTTCATACACTCGTGGGCATGAATGTCATTGTAATTTGGGGCTTTTAATGATTCCTTTGAGCTGTTCTGGACAGCATACATCTTTGGTGGCTTTAAAAAACAAGAAATGGCTGCTCAAGTTTGAATTTATTTAGGATTTTCTCTCACAGGGTCAAAGGTATACATATAGGCTGAAATATAGACATACTCCCCAAAATCTTTTAATTATTGGTGATTTAGATTTTAAGATGTCTCTAAACTTGCCTATTAACTTCTCAGTGATGATCAGGATGGAGTACAACTCACATTATCTCTTTGCAGTATAAAAAGGATTTGTTTGAAAGGAGTCACTGTACTGGCTGATCCTCAAAGCAATGAGAAAGTCTAAAGAACTCGGTGAAGATCTAAGAAGGTGAATTGTAGAGTTACACAATTTGGAAAGGTTTCTTAGAGCCATTTCTAAATGATGATATACAAGATCATCAGATCAAACAAAGTTATTCGGATGTGTCACTACTTTACCCGGGTTTAGAAGAAGAAAGTTGCCGCTCCAGAGGAGAGGAAGTTAGGATGTTCAGGAACAACTCAACCAATAAGACTCAAGCCTACATGAACCATGAACTGTAAACTGCTGGAAACTTCAGTCAATGTCCACATTGAAACAAACTTGAAGAACTGTCAAGTTGTCAAACAAGAATGAAGCCTCTGCTTCAAAACTGTCACCTTCAAGCTCAACTGAAATCTCTGGCTGCCCACATGAACAAGCCAAATGCCTTCTGGAGAAAGGTCTTATTGTCAGACGTTTATTGTCAGAACTATTAGTGGGGATGTAAATGGTAAATGGCCTGCATTTGTATAGTGCTTTTACTCAGTCCCTAAGGACCCCAAAGTGCTTTCAGTCATTCACCCATTCACACACTGGTGATGGCAAGCTACATTGTAGCCACAGCTGCCCTGGGGCGCACTGACAGAGGCGAGGCTGCCGGACACTGGCGCCACCGGGCCCTCTGACCACCACCAGTAGGCAAACATGGGGTTAGTATCTTGCCCAAGGATATTTGGCATGCAGCCAGGAGGCAGCCTGGGATCGAACCACAGACCTTCTGATTAGAGGCTGACCTGCTCTGCCACCTGAGCTACAGCCACCCCATATATGTATATATAAATATATTTGACCCTGTGAGCATTAGAGAAAATCCAAGATAAATTCAAACTTGCACACTCAATTCTTGATTTTTAAAACCATTAAATATGTTTGCTGTACAATTCTTCCAACCCCGAAGAAAAAAAAGTTCAAACAGTTGAAAGAAATCCTTAAAAGCGCAAAATTACCATCACATTCATGCCCATGTTAGAGCGACACATAGATATCTTATAGTAGAGTGCAGCGGTTTAGTGAGAGAGACAGATTATACATATCTGTTATGCCAAAAAAAATGTATAACAGTTATAAATACAAAAGTTTATCAAAAGGTTATTAAAACATATAAAGCACTTGCAAGGCATTACGGTACCTGCAGTGAACCACGACAGGGCCAGCATCAGGTGGTGTAGAAGCTTTAACCCTTCGTATAAAAGCCAACAATCCAGTGGCGTGATAGGGCACCCCGTGTTCAGGCCAGGATGTGAAGTGGAACTGACGTACCTCATGCTTGGTCGAGTATCCTCTCTTTCATCAGAAACACAGTGCACGTTAGTAGTTCAGGGAAAAAACAAAAACCATTGGCATTCTAATGCTAGCAATAGCCTACAGGCCTTGATCTCGCAGAAGATATGCTACAAACTATTCGGAGACTTTTCCCCTCTGTGATAGATGTGACAATTCTTTTTGGTTCAGAGTGAGGACACCCAGGACATTATTTACGCGGGGTGTTAGGTCTTCTAGGACAGTTAGGCCTCTGGGCCCCACATGTTAGGAGCAGCTGCAATCTGACAGATGTGCAGAAAGGAATTACTAAGGCTCTAGGGAGCTCAAGGAGGGGTAGCAGCTTTCTCCTTTCTTCTGGGAGGCTGCTGCAGTCACGTCGCAATTTCTTCTTCCATACAGAGATGACAAAGTAAAGCAATGCAAAGCAAAGATTTGTTGAAGACAGAAATCCAAAAAAAGAAAGTAAAAGAGCTATGAAAAACAAGCTGTCACCAGCTCGCTAACTCATGCCGATTTGAATAAGCAGCAGTTTGTGCCCGTGGAGAACGACTGTGACAGTGTGATGATAATGCTGTGTTTGTGCCACTGTCACTCCAGCACTGCTCTGAGCCCTTCCAATGAGAGATCCCCCAGGAGATTGACAGGATGGAGGCCATCGGGGGCACGGCACTGTAACAGCTATGCTGGAAAGACAGCAGGGGCATCCACAAAGCTACTGGTGTTAATTCCTCTCAGTTTAACACATGGACCTCGTGTCCATCAGCAAACCCCATCTAGTATCTAATCCCTTCTATTAATGCTCTACTTCTAATCCAAATTCCTGCATCACCAGGTAACATGATTAAGTTGTGTTTACATTGGTGAATCACAGAAAGAGATGAAGCAAAAACAGAACAAGATAAAAGGAATGTGTTTACGAGTAATCATAGATGATGTTCTACCAGGAAAGAGCAATCACAAACTGAGAATATAAAGAAATGCAAAACTCACCCTCTCCACAGCAAAGGTGCGAACTGTGTATTCAGCGAGTGTCTCTGTCTTAAGAAGAGTGATTTTGATGTCACCATACATCTCGGTGTCCTCTGGCCAATATTTGCAGCATTTCACCTGTTTCAAAAACACGAAGGCAAAGTTTGTAAACTACTGCAAAACTGTAGAAAACGTGAGAGTAGTCAGTCTGCAGACAGAGAATAGTCAAGACACGATCTATTTTTTAAGTTTTCCTTTTATATACTATCAGCATGTTAACAAATGGCTCACTGTGTTGCGTGAAATCACTACCCACACTTTTATTGAGTGGATTAAGCGGGTTGGTTTATGGTTTTGTGCACAAGCCATGCATTTATAGACTCCATCATGAACCGACGGCTCTCTGCTGAATTCCCACTGACAGGCAGCGCTAACTCAAGCAAAAGATCATTGGATGTATAAGATCGTTCTCAAATCTTTTCACAAAGGATACTGGAGGCTCAGTCATCTTTACTTCCTAAAATGAAGAGTAATGGTCTGAAGGCTTAAGTTAGGGTTTGTTAGATAAATCTAAGAGCCCTAGCATGTTTCCTCATGTCAGTATTGGATTTCTAGGGACTAAAATCCTTCCTGCGACATTTGCAATGAAAGCACTGCATTCAGAGAGAGCGCATAATAAAATACTACTCTTTAAAAACACAACCAAGCCATTTTCAACAATTCATTCCAAAGTAAAGGAGATAATTGTAAAATGCATGAACATTATTCAAAATAACGAGATGATAATAATAAACATGAAGTACTCAATTTCATGGTTTAACGAGAACAGAAATATAATGATGTGAAATTTAACAAGTTAAAAAATTGTTGTTGTTTTTTTTTTTTGGTGGGGGGGCGGGGGGTGTCCACACTTCAAATGATGTGGAAGAAAAAATAACAACCTGTTCTTTTGCGGATATCTTATCTTAGAGAGTAAAGAGAACACAATAACACAATAATCACATAATGAACAGCAGGGCAGTAATCTTTTTATTGTACCACCACCCAGTACAATGGAGGTAACTCTTTTTAATTTAATGGACAAGTTATTTGGATTCAGCCACACAGATCACTTCTCCAAACTGGACAAACGACTACTGTGTGATTTTCACCATCCGCCACAGTATATGTTTCTCCCGGCTCGACTGAAGAGGCTGGAATATTTAAGGTGGGATTTAATGTAACTATGTTTATGTAAGGTAGAAAATAATACTTAAGTATAGCAAGCAGAGTGTGTTCACAGACAGCAGCTCTAGATTTGTGGCCTGGAATACTGTATATATGCATTTGCAGGGATTGCAGTTTCATGATGTTTGAAATGCATGCATTCACCAAAAAACACACAGAGATAGTTTATGATGATTTCTGAACATGGTACAGAAAGTTAAAGCTATCTTTAAACAGTTTTGGCAAGGAATTGACTGAGTTCATTTATAAAAGTAAAAATACAATAGGACTTTTGGTCCATCCTTGGGCAATACTTTAAATATATTGTTTCTGTCAGATGTGCAGTCAGCCGAAGCTACAAATTAAAGTTAACTTACTAAAAGCAACAAGTTGCTGTTGATGTGTGTTTACAAAGTATCCTTATATTCATCCCAGCTGCCCCCTAGCTAACAGAACCAGCCCAGTGTTGGAGCAATAGAAGTCATCTCTGAGGCAGAAAAAAAGCCGTGGGTGCACTCGGCTTCAGAATAAAACAAACACTACAACACAATAACATCAGTAAACTGCACGCTTTATCTGAAGATTTCTAAGACACATCTTGAAACTTCATTTATTTTAGAAAATGCATAACAGCAATCTGAAAAAGTAAATATAACTGTCTGACTGCAGCTTAAGACATTTAATAATTTACCCTTGAACCGTCATGCAGCTGTTTTTCTTAGATTTATAGTGTACATATTATCGATTAATGCAATCTGCACCACCCTTACACAATGTCAGGCTTTTTTTTAACTAACCTCATTTTAGCTTTTCTTTGTTGTTATCACTGTTGTATGTATCAATTTTTGAACTCTCCCATAATGACCCTTACTAGATGCCTGTGGCACAACTTTGCTGTTAATTTATTGTTTATTGTAGACTATACTATGCTGCTGTAACACCGCAGCAGGCTAAATGAGGGATCAATAAAATAGCCTGCCTGTCTAATTGGTTAGGAGGTAAATGAGACAATTATGATAGCATACAGTAAGTTGCTATCACCAAGCATAAGCAGGGAAATATTCTCTTTTGGTGTTTTGCAGCATTAGCTTGGCATGAAATCGCACAATAAACTGCATGTGTGTTAAATACAGGCAGTTTAAATAAATCCACCAGAATCTTTAAATAAATCTACCAGAAGCAGATGGCTGGCTTAATGACATAAAAGGAAGGAAACAATCTGCCTGGTACTGTCCAAACAAAGGCTGAGTCACGACAGAGTAAAAATAGGACGGCAAGGTCCTTGTGATTAGGAAAGAAAACAAAACAAACAAGAATGGTGGCTGCACAAAGATTTCACTGAACCTTTGTTGCATTCAGTGACCTGTTACAACTTGTAACAGCGACCAACTGGTTGCCCAAAGGTTGAGCCGCAACACCCTCGACCTCTGACCAACCGCTTTCAATCACAAGGCAATTGCACGGATCACCGGGTGGGAGGCAACGTGTCTCCAAACACTTATTGTGCGAACTGAACTGACTGCAATCAATCTCAGATACACTGGTGAAAGTTTGCAGATAACTGGCATAGAATTTATAAATGCAGACAGATTGCCAACATGTTGCAATCAATCTAAGTCAATCTGTGCTTCTCAGCAGTAGGGGATGAAATTCAGCTGATTGTATTCTGGTTACACGTCCAGATAATGCTCTCTCTCTCTCTCTCTCTCAGGCAGAGCAGGTCATCTACTAATCAGAAGGTTGGTGGTGCAATCCCTGGTTGCTCCAGGATATGCCAAATATCCTACGTCAAGACACTGACCCCTCTGATTGTTTGTAATTGTCAGCAAGTTGTATAAAGCGCTTTGAGTGCTCAGGTAGAGTAGCAAAGTGCTATTTAAAGACCAGTCCATTTACCATATAAAAACAAGGTTGTCAAGGATGTTATTCTCCACTTAAATCACCATCCAGCAGCAACTATCTATTTGTGGAGGAGTTTCTGTTTCAGTTATGAAGTTGTGACTCAATCTGAATGTAATTAACTGAATTTATCTTTAATGTGACTTTCTGTGTATATTGGAGGCAACAGATTTGTATTTGTGTTGACGTATCACAGTTAATTGCCATATTAAAACAAATATACTGCATGTAATTGCCAACTTCCCCCCAATTATTTGCAAACTGAGCCTGCCATTTTATCGTCTTGACACAGCAAAGCCACTTTGATGATGGCAAGTGACTGCCAGTGGTTGAAGCACTGGCCCCTGTCTTCAAAGCAACCATTTCAAAGGGCAACGTTGCACTCGGCTCCAGTAGTTTTGTCTCCTGTGCGACTGTAGCGTAAGCTAACAAAGTCTGCAGGTCAGCACCTCTAAAACTAGTCATTTACCATACATTTAGTTTAATCTGTCCAAAAAGCTTCCAGTTCACCAGATATTATCTTTCTGCAGTACTTGTTTTTTTCCAGTCAGTGCTAACTCACCGCTGCCTGGAGCACGGCGCACAGAAATGAAAGTAGTGTTGATCTTCTCTTGTCCGCTTTCATCAAAAGTGTTTAATTGCTCCTTTCACAGGCTTGTGGTATCAAATCATCAATAAACCATAACGGCCTTTAGGCTGGAGTTTCCATGCAGAGCAGGGTTGCAAACGCACAAAAAGCCTTTCATATTGACACCAAAAAGTCCCCTTATGATAAATGTGGTCTTTTTCTGAACACTGATTGGTGACAGGGACGGGGGAGGAAAAGGAGAGTGTACATCACTTACCCTGCCAACCTCCACCAGCTTAGTGATCATGACGATGCTGAAGCAATTTTCCTGCCACACCATCCTCCAAAAATCATAGAGAGTCTCCTGCTTAGGACCTAGTGGGAATAGGGAAGAAATAACAGAGAAAGAGACAAAAACGGCAGCATCAAAGCCTGCCCTCTCAATAACGGCGTTTCTGCTGTGAAATTTTGTATTATTGCGACCTAAGTGTCCTTTCTCAGATGGCAGGGTACTGATCTTTCGAGATTGTGCCATCAATAAAGTTATTGGAAATTCCAGGCAGGCAGAAGGGAAGAGGCAATGGGTGACAAAACAACAGCAGTAGCTGATGATGAAAGCCCGGGGGACCGCCAGTCACTCACCAGGATCTGAGCAGGAGACGTTTAGGAAGTGAAAAACAGCTTTAAAAACGGGGATCACATTGGAAGAAAAAGCTCTGAAACAGGAAAGTGCAGCTGACATCTTCTTTCTTTCCTTTACGTTTCATCTGCCTCTATCTGTTTAACAGGAGGGGAAGGAGGTGCGGGTGGAGGATGAGCAGACCCTTAGGGATTTTGTGATGGGAGCTCCCTAGAAACTGGCTCCTCCTAAGAGGGAATGCTCATATTCCTGCAGATCCCAAGTGACCATCTGAAGCAAAAGTGCATTTGAGCGACAGCGACTGAACTAAAGGTTCTCTGCGTGACAATGAACACATCGCTCCACATGTCACAGAGACTAAGAAGCTATAATTAATGTGTTTAATTATTCAACTCTACTCATAATTAATTCAGTGACTTCCCTAACACAGGCTCCACGGTTTGATAGTCACACTATCACCTTTGAAATTGGCAGAGAGATGGTTTTGGCAAGGGACTGTGCATGAGTAGGATCGTTGGCTGGATCATCTTCAATTTATTAAACTTCAACAAAAGGTACTCGCTGTACTGAATTCCCGCACACACAATTACACACCACAGCCTTGCCGGGATACTCACCCTGAGTGGCGATGAAGTGGTTGGATCGATGGTAGCCCTGAAACAGAGAAGAGGGATGACATGCTGAGTAAGCGAACTGCACCATAGGCACAGCTGTATGGGTGTCTCTCTCTCTCTGTGCTTCCCTCTTCCTTCCCTCGTTCCCTACATTCCCCTCTGTAAAGCCTGGTTTCTGTCTAATTCGTCATTGCTGTCTAACCTACCGATGCCTCCAGACCGCCTCTTTACCCTCGTTGACTGCGCAGACACGTGGCGAACAAGTGGCGTTTCTTGAAAAACTGCTGACATCCCTAAAATAAGCTATTTATTCAGCTTGTCAGGCTAGCTAAGCAAACAATGCCTGAACCCTTGTGACAGTTTAATAAAGATATGATAAAGAACCTACAGGTGTGCATTTCTAAATTTCAGGTGTCCGGTTTATTTAGCCATCTCTGCCTCGGAGTGCCTACTCATAAAAATAAATAGATTTTCGCTGCAGATGCTATATGCGTTGGGCGACGAATTAGCAACCCAAGAGGAAATTTCATCCTGAAATTCTTCCACTTGTCACAAGCCATACAGCTGGATCCGTGTCTTGCACACGTTACACATCAATGCACGACACCAGCAGTCTTCAAGAGGAAAATCAAAAGTACACAGCAAAGTTTTCTGAAAACCTTTATATCAAAGGATGCGACAACATTTGATATAGATGACAGACATTTTCATATGGCGAGTATGGGTTGAATATGAATGAACAATGAGATGTCACCTCTACAGCCTTGAGGGGGATAAACATGACAAAGACCAACTGAGGGACTTTGAAGCATAAACCCTTTTCAGGATGAGCAAACTGTTCAAAGGAGGTCCTCCTGGAAATAAACACTGCTTAGCTAACCGTTTAAACGAAAGGAGACAACTGCCTTGAGATTGTATGAAAACATCAGCCAGAAAACTGCATAGATGGTTCCCTGTTTGCTGAGAGGAGCAGCTGGAATGATAATTGATGCTGCAATTACTTAACTTACAGGAGTCCGTGGAGGGGGAGAAGGCAGGTCAGGAATAATCTGAGAAGACTGCCAAGCCCGCAGGCTCTCATCAAATCAGTATGATGAGGCAATCCATGTTGATAACACTATTTTTTATCTTTTTGCAGAGGGCATCTTCGTAATATTTTGAGTCCGTCCACATTGCTGACGGATTGCTAAACTGAATCGCATCCACTCAGATAAATGTGGACATGTTTGAAATGGAGATGGATGACCAGTGCTGTGAGGCCTGCTATCCACAATTTCTCAGGCCCTGGCCAAACTCTATCAGCATGAATGCCAAGCTTTCTCCATATGAGACGGTTGCCATAACAACCGAAGGATCCTCCATCCAGAGAGAGGACACATCTCTTTGTGTTCATTTAAAATCATGAGCTAAAAAGGGCATTTCTTTTGCATTTGATTGGTTTAATGCGCACTAACCTGATACACCCTGACCTTTGAGCATTTGTGGATAGAGGACAGTGGAAAGAGTAAGGAGGAAGAGGGTAGAGGGAAAAGGGAAATAGAGCAATGGCAGGCAGAAGAACGAGCAGTTAAGTACTTACTTCCCTGTTAATCCGAATCTACAGGGTCCGAGGTCGAGGTGGGGTGGGAAGTAGAAAAGAAGACATATAGGCTAGTTAATGAAAGAAGCTTTAGGAGGTATGGTTACAGACAGCAGGGAAGCCTGTGTGTGCATAGGTGTTGATGAAAGAACAGCAAGAATTAGCTTCATCGTGTGTTAGCGCAATGACTTTGTGTGAATCAGTGACCTAAGGCCAATCCTGTTTGATCAACTCTCTTATCTCTCAGTTGTGTTTTTGTTCAAATTTGTGTTTTCTTTCCTTTTGAATTTGGCTTTAAAATTATGCAAACAGTATTTTCATTGCATCTCGCAAATTCAAAGCAGCTAGTAAGCTTATATTAGTACTCTGCTTATTTAGCATTTTGCTCTCGTTGGCAAATTCATGATGCACAGTTAAACAGGGCGGTAGTCCTACAGTTATTCTGCACAACCAGATGATGTCTTCTTTATTCTGCATTTGCTTTAACTCGTGCACTGCATATAACACTTAACAACGGAATGTGGTGTGTTAGTTACTTATTTAGCCACAAGATTTCGATACCACACTCAAAAATTCTTTTCATTTTTTAACTTTTAGTCTTTGGCAGTCAGTTCATGAACAAAGCCAAGTACAGCTGTGCTAGCGATTTGCAATGAGGAAAAAAGAAAAGGAAAAAGCATTTTCCCGTTAGGCCAGAGCTAATTATGCTCAATATGTATCACTTTAAAGCTCATTGGTGCTCGCCTTACCTAACAGGACTTTTGAAACCGAACAATCCAACCAGAGCACCGAGGTCTACGAACCAACTCCTCTTGGACATTCTGAGATCCAGACTTTGAAGCAGAGTCTTTTCAGTGGTGGCTCCTAATCTTTGGAACAACTTACCTTCTTACATAAGAGCTGCATAGTGTCTCTATCATTTGAAAACACTTTGAATAACCTATTTGTTCTCCCTTGCTTTTGGGTCTAGTTGAGCGAGGAATCTTATTTTTCATACAAAAACAGCCTTATTTACCTGTTTTATTTGACTTCTAGTGTGTTTAATTAGTGACTGTTCCATAAAGTGTATATTTTATATAGCTTTTACAGCACTCTGGTTAACTGAGGCTGTTCAAATTAAGCTACAGAAATAACCTAATTTGACTCTACAGCAGTCTCAGTTTCTTGTGTGCCCCTTGGGACAATTTATCAACCACCACCCGCAACAGACCATTTCTAGAAAACAGACAACTAAACCATTGTAAGAGAGATACTTTCAAATGCAAACAAGATTGGTTCATACTTTATTTCTTAGGCTTGATCATTAAAAAAGCTTTATTTGTGGGAAGTGAATGGGCTGAGCCAGAACCACAACAACAAGAACAATAAAAAAATGTCATGATTCACAGCAAGCGAGTAGTTTTCATTTAAATTAGTCCATATTGAAGTTTTCCTTTATACAGTCGAGCTTACAACACAACTGAAAATGACTCAAGTAATATCAAATAAGGGCTTCCTCTAATTTCACTGTAATATACACACTAAAACCCTTTTTACAGATTTAAATTCATAAAATCTCACTGAGGCACAAAGGCAGACTTAGTATAATTTATTAAGATTTAAACACTAAAAAAAGCATTTTTGCTTTAGTTAGAATATGTGACCAAGTTCAGTTTGATCAGACCTTGTAACAGCCTGCGAGTGTTGCTATTAAGGTGCTGTCCACTGTTTGGTAAGTGTGAACATTGCACAACCCGTGCCAGGGTTCATTACTAGGAGGCAGTCTTGAGTCCAGATGAAAGCTAGAAGGCCATTCAGACATGCACTCCCGTCCTGTTAATCTGAAAGCGTCTGATCGTGTCATCTTCATATTCAAATGGAAACCCTGGACCTCTTTTGAAATGCCTCCTAAGTGAATGCATCCAGTCACATCACCAGATAGGTACTATAAGATTATGACTACGTCTTTATAAATTGCTCAGATCGTCACAGAATCCTTGTAAAAGTATAAACAGCATGAACTTAAAAGCATTTTTTCTTTTCATTCAGAAATAAGACTCGTTTACGAGCACGATGCACGCGTTGCCTCAAGTGTAACAAGTTGTTTGAATGTAAGACAGCCTTGCACATACTGAAGCCATAAGAAACAGTAACATAAAGGGGAATTAGATCTTTATAACACAATGCTGTCACTTTAACAGGCAGATAAAGCCCAAAAGTGTAACATATCCCGTGTCTGAAAAGGAGTCGTACTGCTTTTAAGGATTTAACATTACACCACTGTCTGTCACTTTTTCAAACAACAACAAAGGCCCTCTCTGCACTGCCTGTCACTACAGAATTGCATATGCATGCATATCTCAACAATCGCATCGACTCCTCGCATGACAGATGAGCGTCCTCCTTGTCTGCGTGTCCCAGCTAGCCATACTCGTAGGATTTGGCGCACATTTTTGGCTGCGTATGCAATCGTCATGAGGATGGGGAGAGAGGGTTAATCACACGAAGCGCAGTGTAATCATAGTTAATCCTGAAGCACCCGCAGATTCAGATTTTGCTAATCTCCTATTGATTAACTTATCACCTTTTTTTCTGCGTGAACACTGCCCAACAACACCGTGAGAAAAGCAAGTGAACAGATTTAAATTTGGATGGAAAAAGTAGAAATTGAAAGCAAAAACTGAGAAAATCGTTGTATTTTTAGGGCCTTCTTATGCATATAACAACAAGATATTACTGCTATTTGTTATTTACAATATTTACATAGATTAACCCAGCATGGATAAAGAGTGTAATGGTGTAAGAGTATCTTCCTGAAGTGGGAGGAGCCTGTTGAGCCCAGTTATGAGGTGAGCCCATGGAGGTTCAATTTCTTTGCTGGGTAAATGTCATCTGTTTTAGAGTTTAAGAATTTAAATAAATACTGTAAATGTGTGTTTGTTTACTGTCACGAACACCCCAAAACTCTTGATGCAGATAAAATGCAAAGTAGCAACAGCCATTAAGCACTGCTCTGCTCTCTCTGGTCTGCAAATGCTACAAGAAGCTGGTTCAGATATGCAAAGTTCTGTATACACCAGAAAGAAAATGCAAATAACCAGTCATTAAGCGACAAAGAGAGAAAACAGAGCTCCAGCACTTTGTCCCCTCTGCTCTGAAAGCACGATAATGTTTCAGAGGGAGGAAAAACTTTTCCATTTAACCTCTGGTGAAATAATCACAGGCTGTCCAAAATATGCTCCACTGCGGCTGAGTACTTACAATTCATCTCGCTGGGTCAGGGAGTAACATCACTGACACTGACACTGTAGTGGCTGCTGAGTGGTGTTTTCCCTCTAATGCCCGCATGTCTGTGCCCTCACCGCTAATGGAGACCCTCACAATAACTACAGCCTAACAGCAGGCCAGGTTTTTAATGCCCTCTCATTGTAATGAACTCTCTAAAAGCATCTCACCACTGGCCTTTCTGTACAGAGAAATAAAAGAGGGGGGGGAAAGCTCTATAGTGTCAAACATTTAATGATACGATTTGGCCAAAAGGTAGAATTCATCCAAAACCAAGTCAATGTGAGGAACTAAAAATGACATAATTTGTCTTTAATGTATATCTTTTATAAATGTCTGGCAGACTGTTATCCTAAAAAGAGAAGAATTATTTAAACTCTAACTATCCTCAAATGGAGTTGGGTGTACATAAGCACTTCTCTCTTTTTTTCTTTTGTTTTACAGTCTGCCATACTTACAGTAGTCCCACTGAGAGGTGTGCAAAATAGATTTTGCAAGATCTAGATTGCCAGACTTCCCTTGACATTTCTCAAACGAACAGCAGTGTCACAACTATGACAGAGGATTCACAGGGAAACTGAAACACAAGTTTCTGCTTTTTCCCCCATATTCCTGGTTAAATCATTTATTAATAACTAACTGCTGCCTTCTAAGCACACGCACTTCTGTTTTCTCAGTAAAAAATATAGCCTCGGCTAGCTGTAATGAATGACAACACATATGAATGGGACACGTTAGCAACATACACATGTATTTCATATGATAAGTGAGAGATGTTGACTGCATGTGGTGTGACAGGAGGTGAACGGTGGAAAGGATCATCTCTGCTCGGCCCATCCAGAGATTGGATGATTGAAAGGGACGTCTATTTAATTTAGGGGGATTTGTAGCATCGCACAGAAAGGTTCATCTACTCTGCAAAGCATTAAATATATTTATCCTGTTCTGTTTTAATAAAAGTGATGGCACAGGTAAGTCTGGGTCAGGGATCCAATGTGGCAATTGACAACCATGGCATTTGGCAAAACACTGGCGGGAACGGTGTCTGATTGGATGAAAGCCTCCAGGTGAAAGTGGGGCAGCAGACTGGTGGGCTTACAGGAATGAGAGAGATGGACTGAGGCTTTGCAGAGTGTGAGATAGAGACTCAGCAGAGGCTATTTGTGTCCCATATTGAACCAAGACAGGAAAAAACAGAAAAGCAGCATCAGACTTACGTCAATGTAGTTTGCGTTAATGTAGTCTGAGTTGGGGTCTCCCAACAGCGGGTGGAGCTTCACTCTGTGTCGATCATCTGAGGCAGGTAAAAATAAAAGAGCAAAGAAATATTGAAAATACAACTGTCACAACATTTTCTGTGTTTTTATTGATTTTTTAAACATTTTCTGATTACTTACATCCCAGCAAGGTGTCATGGCGCCCTTTTGTTTTGTCTTTTTTCTTTGTGCAGTCCCAGCCATCAAAGAAGCTCTGCGGATGAAGACGACACTTGTTGAAGATTTCAAGAGCAAAATCAAACACCTCCTAATCACAGTTTTCTCATGTTTTTCCAAGACGAAAAGGACGATTGCATCTTGCGGTCAACAAGGAGCAGCAGCTTAGATCGAGAGCTCCTGTACACTAGGAAGTTTGGGGTTTTATGCATTATATGTAATTAAAGACAAGATCTGTGTTAGCCGCAGATAGTTCTCGTCTGATCCCAGAGCCCTAATAAGTCACGGACCCCCCATTTGCAGCTAATCTTGTTAAAGCCCTCAGCAATTTAGAACTGGGTTTAAAGCTTTTGTGTCAATGAAAGTATCAAGAGGCAAACCAAAATAATCCAAGAATTAATTTTTTCCCCCACAGAGAAATAATGTCAGTTACATACAGTTCAGAGTGTCAGAGTTACATTCATCTGAAACTAATGAACACATTTAAATGTCAAGCTTCAGCTTTAATTAAAGCAGGTGAATGATGTACTGCGTATTAAAGAATACAACATGCCCAGAGATTAGAAATCAAAAGCAATTTGTCAGATAAACACAAAATCAAACACTATCATCATATCTATCATCTTGTGTGTTTGCCATCTTGTTCCATTTATGTAATTCATGGTCGCGGGGGGGTGGAGCCTATCCCAGCAGCGACAGAGAAAGAGGCGGGGTACACCCTGGGTAGGTTACACAGAGAGAGAGAGACAACCATTCACACTCACGTTCACACCTCTGAGCTACTAAGAATCCCCAGTTAAACTCACCCCACTAACTGCATGTGTTTGTACTGTGGGATGAAGCACCTGAAAGATCCCACACAGACATGGGGAGAAAATCCTAACATCACACATATAGGCTCCGGCCAGATGGACCCTGTGCATTTGCTTCCAAATAATCCCAAATAAGAGAAAATAACTCCGCCACAGGCAATGTGGTGCATGAAGACGCTCGTGTTTTTGATTACTAGTGAACTGAGCAAATACCAATCATTCCCTGAGAATTAGAGGTGACCATAAGACGATGGAAATGCTTCCATGAAGTGCGTGGGACTGTAAACAACAATACATGCTGTCGTCATGGCTACAGCTACTAATGGTTCTGATAATGCAGGAACCGCAGGCACTGCTGAAAGCAGTCCATATGAAGCTTTGAGAGGTTTTTTTTAAAAAAACACGTGATCCTGACCTCGAGCACAGTTCGGGTGAAGAGCCATTAGGTGATTACTGTGTGTAAGGTTGATTACATTCTGACCAGTACTGCAGGAAATGTAAACGGATGGATGGATAAGCTCATCGGTCCAGCTGGATGAGATAAAAAAAAATTCACATTTGAAAATGTCCCCGAGAAGCAGAATTAATAAAATAAAAAAACATGACTAAAAAGGTAAGACAATAAGACAACTGCTTACTTTACACAACCAAAATCAATCAGCTTTAGGTCATGCTAAGTGCTAAAGAACATACTTGCATCTTTTTGTTCTTGGCTTTAGAAAGTAAACTACGTGTGTTTCTGTAATAGTGCAGAATACTTTATTTATTTATATATTTATGTATCTCTTTTTCTTTTTAAAGAAAGCATAAGAAATGAAGAGGAGCGAGCTTGTTTTGGGACTACAAGCTTACTATAAAAGGATAGTAGTCCATTTTCATTTGTGTGAGTGAACCTCCAGCCTAGCTTGGTTATCAAAAGCACATTTACAACTCCATCAGTGTGGATGTTATTGCTTTTTAACCAAGAGCGTGCCTTTTAACCCTCAGGTCATTAGCAAAGTAACATGGCTATTAAGAGCACATGAGACGCCTTTAACAGGCTTCTTGTTTCTCTTTTACAATCCTGAGAAAAACAAAAATAACTGACTTGCTATGTGAGATAGAAATTGCCACATAAATCCACTTCACATTGCTGGTTACTGCTGTGCGACATACTGGCTGTTTGTGTACCTGCAGTTTACCAATCACAGTGTGCTGAGTGTGAAAGCAGACAAACTGTCTACCACCTGCTTCATGGATGGCTTCTTAGTCATACTATAACACATCTCATTCACCGTTATCTGCCTGTCTGCATGGATGCACCAGCAAGCATTTACTCGCCCAAGTTGTCATAAGTCACTCAGTGGCTAAATTAAGCTTGCAAACAGCTCCCTCAGATCTGTGAATAAAAATACGCACACACCAGTGTACCCCCAGTGGTTTGCAGCCACTTGGGGAATTTTGTGAAACTCTGCCCAAGTCTGCATGCTGAGCAGGGGATTACAATGCAGTTCCCCCCGCAGAGAGCCAAGAACCAGCCAAATCCTGCCTAGGATTACACCCTCCTCCCTACTTTCTTCTCCTCTTTTCACACACTTCATTTCTGGGTCTGTCTTTCTCTCCGAATCCCTTGTTCTTGTAACCAACTACTTCTCTCTCTCTGTCCACCTTTTCCTTTTCTCCCTCCTTTATTTTATTGACACTACACCTCTGAGCTCTCTCTGCTTGTGTGAGTGCTCTGCTTCCTCTCCTGCTGCCTCAAGAGAGAAGCAGGAAAGTAAAGAAGAAGAAAAAATACAGGAAAAACTGTGAGAGAATGGCAGAACAGTGAAGGGGAGAAAAACAACTCAGGCTTACGAAGGACTGATTAGAAACCGTCGCTGGCAAAGATCAGTGGGTGGGTAAGTCAAGAGAATCACATCATTTATTTGTTAAATTATTACACTTATAAATCAATTTTTTTAATTTTAACATAGTGATGTTGTATCAGTGTCTCAGTAGATTTTATGACAGTAACAATCCAGTGGCAGACTTACTGTGCTGGATTAATCTTTGTGTCACTTTGACCCATCAATTTTTCAACCGCATAATTTTAAGATGACAATGAATGAATTGTGGATCTCCCTGTGATGACTTTCACAATAATCCCCGCCAAACACACACACACACACACAGCCAAAATCCAATCAGAAATCTTATCTGCTGGAAAATATTCTACTAGAAAACAGCAGAATTAACACGCTTGACCGATGTTTGTTAAAAAATAAATAAATTTAAAGACAGGAAAAAAAACACCAGCTGCCAATTTTTTTATTTTTTTATTTTGTTAAACATAATAATTTGGTAGCCCCAGCTGCAACTAAACATCAAATCAGTGTTTGAATGAGTCCATCATTCTTTCTAACCTCAGCCTCAGGGTGCAAAGAGGTATAATGAAAGTTTTGAGTTCTCCAGTAAAGCTCTGCCGCTGTTTACTTGCACGTTTCTGCGGTGGGAATACGACGGCGGTGACAGAAACCGCCACACGTATAAGCCCTTTTTACAGCTCACTGTAAATTCTTGATCAGTGTTTTTACAGAGGGCAGGTACTCCGCAGGGAAATAAAAACCTATGCCTGCCGAGGGAGTGTAATATGATACTCCTCATCATTTTCCTTCATAATAGAGAGAGACACCCCATAAAAACACATACTCTTAGCACAGAGGGGGGGAAAAAACACAAACACACACACAAAGAGGTGTGTATTGATTTTTTGAGTGGAGTGTGTTTTGCCCGTGAGGGACAGTTTAATGAGTCTACAAGCAGAGTTCCAGAGGCGGAAACCATGAACCAGAGACAAAAGTTGTTTTCTCCCTCTCTTTTTTTTTTTTGCAAATGTTTCAGGCCGCGGGTGACAGAGATGGACTTCTCCTCAGGTTGGGAGCTCAACGTTCTGCCACAATTGTTCCATCGGGAAGAGGCATTCAGAGTTTTGGGCCCTTCGTTAGATAGCAAAGATAGAGACAGCAAAGCACAGCTAGAGGAGAAGGATATGTAATGTAAAATGTAAAAAATGAATAAATAAATAAAACAGCAGAGATAGAGACGGGCTCGTTATTGGTAAGACTGTGTATTATTATCATCATAATAGTTTAAAGAAAACAGGGCATTTGATCTCAGCGACACATAAGTTTTGAACTGGTTACAGTGGTTCCGAAACTTTTTTTGCTGGGCCCCCTTTGTTTTACAAAAAAAATGTTCGCGCAAACACAAACACATCTTCCAACCACACACCCTTATTTTGCTCAATTGCGGTTTCTTTCACACCTCAAACATTTAGTAAACAATTAAACAAATACAAGTAATCTGCAATAAATTACAGGTAGTAAGAAAATAAACTACTAACTCTTTTATGCTACATCCACACCTACACGGGTATTTTTGACAACGCAGCTGTTTCGTCCACACGTAAACGGCGTTTCGAATCACCGAAAACTGAGATTTTTTTTAAACTCTTTTTTTGCATTTATGTGTGGACGATGAATACAGAGTTGGTCACGCAACGTCAAAGGTATGTGCCTTTTTTCACGTCACGCTGTGCGCCACGTTATTGTTTACATGAGATGAATTACAGAATGGCAGATAGAGACAAAATACTGTTACTGTTAATCTATCTGCAGGTTTTACACACTTACATATACACACGCAGTTACTGTCCCTCTATTTACAAAGGCAGAGGTGTAATTATTTTACATGTAGTTGTTTTTTTTCCCTGTGTACTAATATTCAACATTGCTATCAATACATTTTCAAAAAATGCCTCTCTGTGCAAAATGGGTTTAAAAACATAAACAACTGTGAGATACTGTTCGTCTGTGATTTGAACCGGGGGAACAAATCGTGGCAGGATCACCATGATATTATTTGTATCCCGCTGTAACTTTACTGTATAAAGAGCTAACATCTCCAAAATGACAGGAGTAGTTTAGTCATTACAACAAGTGTTTGAACTAAAAATCAAGAATGTGGGATACTGTTTGTCCGTGATTTGAAGAGCCCAGCGAAAACCAATTCTGCTGAGGAGACCTACCTCGGCACTTGTGCAGGTGAAACCAAAGGGAAGATATGCTTCACCATATTTTCTAGTCTTTGGCTTAGAATGAAGTTGGTTTGGAAACATATTCAGCTATGCTTCATCTCCTGCTTTGCGTTTCTGCTAGCAGTGTCCATGCGTTTTGTTGTTTTTCTCCCCCTTTCCATTGCGCCC